CGCCAAAATCTTCCAAATACCGACGGGAAATCGATTGTTTTTGCCTCCTGGGGCCCTCTTGAGACGCTTCTTCGAGGCCTCCTTGAGCGTTTTGGGGGCGTCTGCGGCCGTCTGGAGGTTATCTTGGGCGTCTTGGACCGATTGGTCGGCGACTCGGAGCCCTCTTGGACCGTCTTGGGGACTCTTGGGGCCCTCTAGGAGCTGGGGCGCCTGAAAACCGCGCCCAGAAGGAAAAAACATCTCTGCATGGGTCGGACCGCCCGGGGTACTTTTCGTCTGGGGACCCCCAGGAGCCGCCCCGCGCGCGCGAACTAGAAATATTGTTAACCAGTAGCCCGAGGTCTTAGCGCGCCTCTGGCCCGCTGGGCCGGCGAAACTGTTGTTGTTAGTATGTTTATTTGAATGTCTTTTGTTTATGTAGTTGTTGTTTGATGTGTTCCTTATGGACTATTCATTCACGTGTTCATTTGGTAAGCTCTTTCTTTATCTACTTATCCATGCATATGTAGCCACCGCCTGGAGGATCGATCTTCGCGGACCTCCACTGGCAGTGGATGTGGATATATTCGGGCCCCTTGCGACCGAAACATATGTATATCTACCGCCCGTCGGTTCCCAGGCGGTGGATCTATAAAACCCCGCCCCGCAGAGGTCGAACACCTCTGCGGGCTCGTCTCGTGCCAGAGTCGGCTGGGGGTCTGAGTCGGGGAACCGTGAGTTGAACATTATTTATTCTAAAGAATAATTATTGTTGGGCCCCCTGGTGCGCGCCCCCCCTGCGCCGCCTAGGCCGCAGCTACATTTTCATCATTTTCGTGAGGAAGCCTCAGAAAAGAGGGTGTGTACAGGATCCGGTTGTTTTGTTGTAATCCGCTTTCCCTTGCAAAAAACAATAGAAAATGACATTTCTTGTTCTAATATAATCAAATTTCAAGAATCCCTTGCAAAAAATAAGGTAAAGTGGACATTCGCGCGCGCAAGACGAAATCCTTCCAAAACCTTAGTGTTCGCAGCGATTTTAACATAAAAACATCAAAAAACCAATGGTTTTTCAACAAAAAATTGTCAAAATCTCATCCCGCGCGCTCTTGCGGATTCGTAGGAAACCCAACACTTTTTAAACATTTCTGTCAAACGGGCTTTTGCGAGCAACTTTTTCGAACTTCTGCGACAACGGTTGCGCACCTGCCAGGGCCATCATCCCTGTCAAATAATACCATGCGGGACACATTCGTTTTTTCTTCGCGCGCGCACGCCGTCGTCGTCGGCCGCGGGGCCCTGAATAGTAGCCACGGTCGTCCGCATGCCACGAAGTGAAGTGTCCGAACGTCATAGGGCGGGAAGCTGGGTGTGGGTGGTGGCGAAGAGTCGTTTGGAAATTTGGTAGAGCTTGAACCGGCCCCCCCACAAAGTGGGGGTATTGCCCGCCTCCTATGAAAACCCTGGCACTGGTGAGAACGGAGTGTCCCCACGTGCTAGTAATTGTTGTTGTTGTTGCTGCTGTTGTTGTTGATGATGATGTTGTTGTTGGTCGTTGGTTGTTGGTCGGTGTTTGTTGTTTGGTGTGTGTTGTTTGTTGTGTGTTATTTGTTGTTTTTTTGTTTGTTTGTTGTTGTTGTTGTGGTTGTGGTTGTGGTTGTGGTTGTGGTTGTGGTTGTGGTTGTGGTTGTGGTTGTTGTTGTTGTTGTTGTTGTTGTTGTTGTTGTTGTTGTTGTTGTTGTTGTTTGTTGTTTTTTGTTGCTTGTTGTTTGTTGTTTGTTGTTTGTTGTTTGTTGTTTGTTGTTTGTTGTTTGTTGTTTGTTGTTTATTGTTTGTTGTTTGTTGTTTGTTGTTTGTTGTCTGGTGTTTGTTGTTTGTTGTTTGTTGTTTGTTGTTTGTTGTTTGTTGTTGTTTGTTGTTGTTGTTGTTGTTGGAAAAGTGAAAATAATGATACATGATTTTCGAAGGCCTTCGTTGGAATCGGGGGGCCGCTCTCGGGCCCAGGAGCGTCAAGAACGCCTCCGGGGCGAAGGCCTGCACCGCGTGGACCCCGCGAAGGGTCGGGGGACCGATCCTGAGCGGATCTGGCCTCACCAGTGTCACAGGCCTCACACCCCTTGCGGCTGCCATCATCGGGGCCGCTTGAGTCGCCCTCGCCCACTAATGCACCAATGCATTGCGGCGTCAGTTGTCAATGGGGGTGGGGCCGCGGCTCTCCCTACGGTCCCTCGGCCAACGAAGACGGCCGTAGGGGGGGGGTGCCAAAGTACCACCTCAACTCAGACCTTCAAGACCTTAAGGCGCCAATTGCCACCAGTCACAGTTTTCCCCGCGACCCACCCCGCGACCCACCCCGCGACCCACCCGCGACCCACCGCGCGACCCACCCCGCGACCCACCACCCACCCTGCGACCCATACGCGACCCACCCGCGACCCATCCGCGACCTGGCCCACGACCCACCCGCGACCCACCCACATTGCGTTCACGAAAAAATCGGCGCCTGCGGCGGGCCCACTGCATAATTTGTCAAAGTTAGGCGCCTGCGGCGGTCTTCTTCGGAGCCTCGCAGACTGACGACGTCCTCGCCGCCCCCTCACTCTTATCCGCAACTGCTGGGTGCTACGGGCACTGTCCGGGGCAGCCCACGGCGCGAGGTCCCAACGAGAGGCTTTTTGGGTTTCTTAGTAAGCGCTGGGGGGGGGGCCCCCGACGGGGGGCAACCTCGCCTCGTCGTCGCGCCGCGACGGGGGCCTGAGCGCCTTCGACGCGCGGTCGCTCTCATCGACGGGGGTCGATGTGGGGCTGTCGGCGGGGGTGGCGCCCCCCCGACGCTGATGAAGAAACTCGGAGTAGGGTGTCCTCAGCTTCTGGGGACCTCCGATGGCGGAGCGCATTCGAGAGTTTGGGTGGTTCACGCGGCATCAGAAGCCTGAGCCCTCGTCGTCAAGGCACGGACCTGCCGTGTGCATCAGCACAATCTCGACGGCGAGCGAGGGGGGGAAGTGAGAAGGCAAAGGTCTTCTCAGAAGGCGGCGGGGCTTCTCAGACACCTTCGCGCCTTCTGATGGGTTTCTTGTGTCTTCGGGGAAGGCTTAGAGGACTTCTCAAAAGGCCGGGCGATCTCCGAACCTCCTGAAAAGGCCCGCCCTTTCTCACTTTCCTCCCGGGCTCGCCGCCGAGTCAAGGCAGGGACCTGCCGTGTGCATCAGCACAATCAGCAGCGATCCGTGTGCAGAGTCCGCCTGTCCTCTGCTGCTGCGGAGGGAAAGCATTGGCGCGAGAAGTGACGATCAGACAGTTCACTGATGTTTCCAACGAGGGTCCGGTTTCGAAAATGGAGCCGCATCACATCCGTGCAACTGTTTCCCACGTTTGCGCGTCTGGTCACTAAAGTTGAAGAAGTCTAGAGCGAGAGTCCCATGTTGAAAGCAGAAAAAGCCCTCCATCTGTGCACTTGGTACATCTGTTCAGCGTTCTGCTCGCTACATTCGAGGGAGTCTCAAGCATGACTCGCATTCTGGACAAGGGGCCACATTGCTGCACGCTCTTCCGACATAAGAGCGAGGCGCTGAGGGGAGAATTGAAAAAGAGCAGCCCTCCATACCTTTAAGACGAATGCGCGCGTTGCTGGGGCGAGAGCCCAATGTCGAAAACGCTCCCCCTCACCTTTGGAACTGCGGCAGGCTTCTGAATGGATGTACGCGGCGCTGAGACGAGAACCCCATTTTGAAAACGGCCCCCATCCGTACGTCTAGCTGTTGCACGTCTCAAGCTTAGGACCATAACTGGTGAGGAGACGCCAGGCCCGCCTCGTTCGCCGCTCCTTCTTCCCCTTTCCTCGCGCTGGGCGTGCGCCCGACCCCGCGCGGCTCGCCACGAGTGGTTTTCCAGAGCAGTGGGCGTGCATGCCTGCGGCGGGGGCAGACATCCCCGTCTACCTCGATTCCTCGGATGTGAGTGCTACTCTCTCCTGTCTCTCCGGAAGGCGTCCGGGGAGCAGCCCGCCCCCCCCCCTTTCCGCGTCCTGCTTCTCACGCAGGATTTCACTATTCTGTCTTCTTGCATTTTTTAAAGTAGGAATCTTCTCGGTGTCTCAACATGGTACTGCCGCTGCAGCGTTGGCCTCATCCTAGGATCGGCGGTTTGCTCCCGTCGTTCAGAGTGGCTCTCGCCTCCGCGCGGGCCACCTTTCTGGATCCGAGTCCTTCCTCATTGTTGTCGCCCTCCTCTCCCTTCCTCCGCCTCCCCCTGGTCCTCCTGCTCCTCCCGGTCCTTCCGCTCCAGTTCCCGCTGCTGCTGTTCGTCCTCCTCCTTGTCCTTCTTTTCATCCTCCTGCTTTTCCTCTTGCTCATCCTCCTGCTCAACCGCCACCTCCTCCTCCCCTTCCTCCTCTGAACGCAGATTCCCTTTTCCGATTGACACGATGGGGTCCTGTTGGGAGTTCCAGGTCCGCTATGACACGGGTCCGCGGATACATAAGAAATCAGCACAATGGGAAGGTATGAGTGGAATGGGTAGGATATCAGATATGGCGTGAGTGCACCTAGCTTGCCTCCACCTCCTCGCTCCTCTCCAAACCAGGAGAATGCGTCCACCCGAGATCGCCTCCCTGACCGAAGGTGTAAGAATCGCCATGACGATGCCCCCGCGGGGACCAAGCGAGTTCCTGCGGGCTCAGCGCCAGCCTCTCCGCAGGGCCTCCCCTAGAGGCACGCTCCACCTTCTCCTCCTCCTCCTCCCGTTGTTCCCTCTGTGGCCAAACTCCCTTCTCCCTCCTCCTCCTCCTCCTCCTCCTTCTCCTCCTCCTCCTCCTCCTCCTCCTCCTCCTCCTCGTTCCTCCTCCTCCTCCTCTTCCTCCTCCTCCTCCTCCTCCTCCTCCTCGTTCCTCCTCCTCCTTCTCCTCCTCCTCCTCGTTCCTCCTCCTCCTCCTCCTCGTTCCTCGTTCCTCCTCCTCCTCCTCCTCCTCTTCCTCCCTCTGTGGCCCAACCGCCCGACAATAAAGATCCCACCTTGCGCAGCTGCCTCGGGAACCCCAAGAGCGAGGAGCAGAAGGGGCTCCTGCCGCGCTGCTGCGAGCGGCTGTTCCAGGCGCTCCAGGACGCGCACAGCGCGTCGCGGCCTGCTCCCTCGCTCCCTCCCTCCCTCCCTCCCTCCCCCCTCCTCCCTCCCTCCTTCCCTCCTTCCCTCCCTCCTTCCTTCCCTCCTTCCCTCCCTCCCTCCCCCCCTCGCTCCTGAGCCCCGCGAGTGCCACAGGGCCGTGCCACGGCCCAGGCTTCGGGCGGATCGGTTCTGCTTCCAGCCCTGGCGTTTTTCCCACCTCGGGGCCTCGCTGGGCCGTCTGCGGGCCCCCGGCGCCGTCATAAATATACGGTCCCTGGGCGAACAGCGTGCCCCTGCGGAGGGAGTCGAGGCCTCCGGGGGCCCGCGGACTGAGAAAAATCAAGCGGTCGGACTTCTGGGTCAGAGGGCCGCTACGAGCGACAGGGGAATTCAGCACGCACGGTCGCCGTCTGTTCTCCTCCCCCTCCTCAGTTGCCGTCCTCCTCGCATTCTCAGCTGGTCGCCGCCGCCACCGTGGTCGTCGCCGCCCACAGTGCGGGGTGGTGGCAGACTGGAGCGGTGGCTGTGCAGAGGGTGCAGCGTGCTGCCTAGCCAGAGGTGGAGGGGGGCAGGGGTGCGGCGTAAGGGGAAGTTGGGAGGGCCCCAGAGAGGGTTGGCGGGTTTTTCCAATGCTGCCACAACGTCCTCGCAGCCCGCTCCCGCGCCCTCTCCCGCCCACATACCCGAGCATGCTGCGCAGAGCCGGATCTGGAGCCACCGCAGCACTGCGGGGCGCCAGCGCAGGGACGCCGCACGCTGCTGCCACGGCCGCCTGTCGCCGCCTGGGACGGCTGCAGGCACATGAACGACGCAACAAAAAGTGGGTTGATTGTGCCGACATTGGCGCGTAGGCTGCTCGCGTAAGGTCGCGCGTAAGCGCCTTCCTTTCCAATGCAGCGTGCCGCGTTGGCGGCCCGCGTAAGCCGCCGCGTAAGGTCGCTGTGCCATCTCGCGTAAGTCTCTTTTTGGATCGTCGCTCACATGCTGCTGCAGCACGCGGGGCAGCCGGGATCGACCCGCTGCCGCTGCTCGGCAAGGTGGCCCTGGTGACGGGCGGCAGCCGCGGCATCGGCAAGGCCATCGCGCTCGAGCTGGCCCGGCGAGGCGCGAGCGTTGCTGCGGCGTACCGCGCCGATGGGGCGACAGCGGCCAAGACGCTGGCTGAGCTGCCGAGCGGCGCCACGGGCCAGCGGCACCTGACATTCCAGTGCGACGTGGCCGACGCCGTTGCCGTGGAGCGACTGGTCGCGAGCTGCTGCGAGCGCCTTGGCGGGCTGGACATCTTGATCAACAACGCCGGCGTTTTCGTCGAGCACGACATCCTCGACGCGCAGGTGACGTACGCGGACTGGCAGCGTGCCTGGCACGAGACCACTGCGGCCAATCTGATCGGCCCAGCGAACCTGGCCTTCTGCGCCGCGCGGTCGATGATGCGGCGCGGGGTCGACGGAGGCCGCATTGTGCAGGTAAGCTCGCGCGGTGCCTACCGCGGGGAGCCAACTGCCCCAGCGTACGGCGCAAGCAAAGCCGCGCTGAACCAGCTGACGCAGAGCCTGGCAAAGGCGCTCGGCTCTTGTAGCATCTCGGTCGCCGCCGTCGCCCCTGGGTTTGTCGAGACGGAGATGGCCCGGGCCGCTCTCGAGGGCCCGAGTGGCGCGGCGATCAAGAGCGACTCGTCGTGGGGCCGAGTGGCTCGAGTGGAGGAGGTGGCCGAGGCCGTGATGTTCCTCTGTAGCCCGGGCGCCAAGTTCAGCACCGGCACCATCCGGCTACGCGTAAGAGTGACCCTGCGCCGCAGTGACCTTGGCCGCGCTGCCCTTGGGGGGCCCAAAGGCCCAAGCAGGCAGGCCGCCGCTGTCGCATTGCACTCAGCTGTCGGCAGGCCGCGCACCGAAGATCACCCTCTGCGTAGGGTCGCCCCTGCGTGCAGCCGAGCCGTCATCGACGTCAACGGCGCCTCGTACCTGCGCTGACGCGGCGCTGACCGCCAGGTGCGCGCGCGCGGCGCGCGCGCGCGCGGCCGACCGGGCGGCTCGTCGGTGGTGCTCGGTAGCTCGCGGGCAGCGGTGGCGGGCATGGGCGGCGGCCTGCTCAAGCTGCTGGTGGCTCTGCGTGGCGCCCGTGTGCGAGCGGCAGGTCGCGCCCGCGGGGGACGCAGGGAGTTCAGGGGAGGGCCTCGCCTTCGGCGCGTCCTCGACCTCGTCGGAAGGCCAGTGGACGTGGATCGGCGGCCGCTCCGCCAGCGGAAGGTCGGCGGAGGGCGGCGAAAGCAAACGTGAGGCGTCAACATTTTTGGATCCAAGATTTCATGAGTCGGCCGCATAAGTTTTATCGTCATCGTCAGAGCCATCCCAAGTCTTCACGATTAAGTAGTGTACCCCCACCAGCCCATTCAGAAGCGTTGCCTACGAGAGCTTACGGGACAAGGGACGAGGAGACCCATGCAGTGAAACAACTCGGGCAACCAGGATGAACAGACAGATCTCTGGGAGCAAGGTGGTGACCTTGCCTCTTCGAGCTATCCCTGGGGCCCGCGGGGAGGCGAGGGGAGGAGGCGGAGGCCGAGGCGGAGGCGGAGGCGGAGGCGGCGGCGGAGGAGGAGGAGGAGGAGAAGGAGGGCCTCACTGAAAGACATCCGTTTGAAGACCCTGAAGCATGCCAAAACATTGTTCTCGGTATTCCAAAGCCACGGATAAACTTGACTGCTGCGTCTTGACGATCCTGAATCGTGCCAGAACGCCATTCTTGGGACTTCAACACTACGATTCATCGTAAATGTTGCGCCCTCATAATTGCGAATCCTTCCAAAATTCCATTTCTGGTACGTCGATCATGGGGATCCGTGAAACTCTTTTATTTTGCCAAGAATGTGCGCGGCGCTACGGCGAGAATCACATTTTGAAAACCACCCGCCCTCAATCCGTGAAACTCTTGCGAAGTTTAAAAACGAATGTGCGCGGCGCTAAGGCGAGAACCACATTTTGAAAACCACCCGCCCCCAATCCTTTAAACTCTTGCGAATTTTCAAAACGAATGCGTGCGGCGCTACGGCGAGAGCCACATTTTGAAAACCACCCGCCCTCAATCCGTGAAGCTCTACAATGTTTGGAAAATAATGTGCGCGGCGCTAGAGCGAGAGCCACATTTTGAAAACGACCTGCCCTCCATCTGTGAAACTGTTGTCAGTGCTTAAGCTTCAGGGTCATAAATGGTGAGGAAGTCTCAGGCGAAACGCCCGGCCCGCTCTAAAAAGTGGCCTCGGGGTGCGACAGGGAGAAATTTTTGGTAAGGAGAAGGAATGGAGGAGGAGGAGGAAGCGGAGGAGGAGGAGGAGGGGGAGGAGGAGGAGGAGGCGGAGGAGGAGGAGGAGGAGGAGGAGGAGGAGGAGGAGGAGGAGGAGGAGGAGGATGCATGCCGCCTCTTGGGGCCCTCGTAGCACGCTCTGGGAACGCTCTTGGGCGCTCTTGGGGCCGTCTTGGTGCTCTCTTGGGGTCTTCGTGGTAGCCCTGGAGGGTCTCTTTAGGCAATCCCGGAGGCTATCGATCAAAGGCGGGGGGGGTCCCCGATGTTAGTCCGCCCTGGGGCCCTCAAAACCGCCTCTTGGGGCGCTCTTGGGGCGCTCTTGGGGCGCTCTTGGGGCCGTCTACGGGGCCTCTTGGGCCCCTCTTGGGCCTCTCTTGGGCCATCTTGTGGCCATCTTGAGGCTTCAAAGCGCATCGGAAGCGAATCGACGAGAAGGCAAACGTTGTTGAGCTCCCTTATGTTACTGAAGGACTTTGGCCTCTTGGGGGGGTCCTGAGGGGGCTCCGAGAGCACTTGGAACCGATTTGTGGCCCTCGTCTGGCCTCTTTGAGGTATGTCGGAAGCTATCATGAACCATCTTCGGCTATCTTCAGCCGCCTTGGAGGCCATCTTGGAGCATCAAAGGCCCTCTTGGAGCCATCTTGGGCGAAAAGGGACCCTCTCACACATCGCGGCCCGCCCCAGAAAACCTCTGGGAGGGCAGGGGGATGGTACCCCTCCCCGATGGGAAGTGGGTTTTGGAAGAGGGCAGGAAGACCTCGTTAGACCACCTCAGCCCAAGTGGCTGGTGGGACTCCTGCGAGCAGGACGCTGCCATAAGGGCCGCTCTGGGCCCAAGAGGGGCTCGGGCTCTCGGGCCCTTCTTTGCACTTGTGTCGTGGAATCTGCTCGCGGTCCAGGCCGGCGGTGACCGGACAGGCCCCTTCGCTCCCTGTCAACGGTTCCTCCGGACAGCACGATGGACAGTAAGTACCCGGACGTGGTATAGGGCGGCTCTCCCAGCGCCCTCCCCCCTGGGGCGGGGGTGGGGCGCTGCGGAGCTCGGGGAGGCTGGCCAGCGGTCAGAGGAGGAAAATCGGAGGTTGATAGACCTCCTACCCTGACACGTCGATTAAGGAATTGGCCGTTTTCGGTTCGCGAGAGGGCGTCGAGGCCGTCATTTTTGCGGGTCCAGGCCCGTCGGTTTCGGTCCCAGGCCGTTTTCATTAAGGGGAGGTTTACTAAAGGGAGGGTTGTCCACCGCCGAGAAAAGGTACCCGTACCTCTACCCTTCGCCCGTTTTCCCTCCTTTCTGGGCCTCCTCGGAGGCCCTCGTGGTCACCGCTGGGTTCGCCTCGACGTCCTGGTCAGAACGCGCCCCGGGAGAGGTCCGGGGAGTAGCATATCCCTGCTGGGCGTGGAGATGGCTCTGTTTTTCGGGGAAGCGTAAGACTCGCTTGCGCCAGGCTTCGGGTTTGCCGACGCTTTCTGACGAGCCTGTCCTGGACTTGGACCGCCCGCTGGGGCACCAGAACGTCGGTTCCCAGGCGTTGGATCGATAAAAATCCCCGCCTCGCAAAGGTCGAACACTTCAGCGGGCTCGTCTCGGGCCGGAGTCCGCTGGGGGTCTCAGTCGGGGAACCGTGAGACTCGAGTTCACCAGAGCTCGGGCTTGCCGACGCTTTTTAACGGGCCCGTCCTTCACTTTGACGGTCCAGTTTTCGCGGGATGTTTGCAGCGGGAGCTCGCGTCAAATTCCAGACTGGGTCTCGTCATTTTCTTGACGGCCCCGTCAGGCCAACTCGAGTCCCCCGAACCCGAGTCTTACGTCTCCCCAATTCTTGTCCAGCATGTAGACCCGCAAACCCGAAGCAGGCGAGAAGGGGATGGGGGAGACGAGGCCGCAACTCCTGGGAGGTAGACTCTCGCATCGCCTGGTATATCTTGGTCGAACTCTGGCCTCATCCGGCCGTCCCTCTTTAATACATCTCATGCAGAGGGATCGGGGCCAGGGGCCCCCAGGCCGCTGCCTCGACAGGGGACTGGGGCTCCATGGGCGGGTCCTGGGCCTCCTGGGAGGACCCCCACATACAGTGGGGGCCCATGCCAAGAAACACCCTGCCTGCCTCCAGGGTGCCCTGGGTTTCTTGGGTTTCGATGGTTTTGCGATGGGAAGCGTGACGTTCCCACACCAAAAACCAATGGACGTCCTGGAATCTCAGGGTTGGGTTTCTTGTGGAAGGTTTCTTGTGGACTGGCCTCCACTGTAGCGGACCGCGAGGTTTCCAGACGGTTCCGAGAGCGTCGACGAGGCGTCACGGATGTCTCGAGGGGCCGCAAGAGGCCGTGCCAGAAGCCGGCGACACGCAACGCATATAGATGGCCCATTTTTTGCCGCTGCGTGCTAGGTGGGGTTCCGGCTTTCTTCCCAACTCGCGTCGCACTCGCGTCTCCTTTTCCTCCTCCTTCATCTCTCTCTCT